CCAATTCCACCTAGAAGGACAAGGTCATCAGACATATGGGAACACCACTACCTCCAAGTTCCCCTCCAAGTCACCCACCATCCTGACTTGGAAATTTATCACCGTTCCTTCACTGTTGCTGGGTCAAAATCCTGGAATTCTCTCCCTAATAGCATTGTGGGTCAACCCACAGCAGGAGGACTGTAGTGGTTCAAGAAGGCAGATCACCACCACCTTCTCAAGGGCAACTGGGGATGGGCAAGAAATGCTGGCCAGCCAGCGACATCCACATCCCACAAATGAATGAAAAAAAGATTAATAGTCCAGCGATAATACCACTCGACCATCTCCTCCCCGCCTTTAGCATGCAAAGTTATGCAGAATGCAACAATAAACCTGGAGGCACAATTAAGGCAGGAGAGCTCTTCCAGTCAGTCCAGGGAACAACAACATTGTTTGAGTATGCTGATAATTTGTTTAGTAAGATTTCCAATAACAGCAAATGGCTCCCATTGTAAACGAGGTCTGCATGCGACATAAGATTCCTGACTGGAATTATGAAGGGGATAAATTTACAATATAGCCAGCCTGTAATCAGTTATGGTGATGGAATATAAGCCCAGATAACATCTGTGGGCATATGGAACTTATTAATTACAACATATGTTTTTCTTAAGAAAAGGGAATATACCGCTAATGAATGATACGAAAATGTAAATCCTGTGCAATATAATTTAAGGACTGTATGGAGGCCTGTGTGGATTATTCCATGGATGCCCTGGAATGTCACATCTGACAGGGGTCAAGGAAACTTCAAAAAAGGAGGGCATCAAAGGGATAAATGAATTACAAACTGAACCGTGATCTCCCGTAAGTTATCTCAGACTGTAAACATGATGAAACAAAACTAACAGTCTGCATGAGACATGCTTGTGTATTTTCTTTTCAAGAATATACAAGAGCAAAGATTAAAAGCAAATTTCAAACACAGTCTCTGTGTTCTGAATGAAAACTTCTAATCACTCCAGCAGGAGGTAAAAAGAAAGGAAGTCTCTCCCTTTTTGGAAAAGATAATCATCTCAAAATCAACTGCTCAACTACCAACACCAGAATGACTGGTATCACCCTACATAATGGCCACAGAATTCTGTTATCTACACTTCATGGAACCCAGGGACTGCTCTATATAACTTTTCAAATATACCTTTTTTGAACTCACCCCTCATTTCTAAGGTGTTGTAAGGTGTACACGTGTTACATTATTATTTCCTCACAGAAGTAGTAACTTACAAACTCTCTCTTTGTTTAATACAACAAAAGCTGGTTAAATTTAGTCTCTTTAAAACAGACAGATATCCACAAAGGAAGGTATCCTTTTCAAATTAACCTTGCTGTGACTAATAGTGGAGAGAGGTAAATAAAGATGGTGAACTAGTTCATCCTTCCTCACCCTGGGAACTTGACAATTTGGAATATCCCATTAGGAGCCAAAATAAATTGGGAAACCTCGCTGAGCAACTGCTCAAAGCGCATGATTTGATTTGAATAGAAGTAAAACAGAAGACAGTCAGAGTGAGTAAATCATGGTTACTGCCAGGAAACATTATTTCCATCTGTGGTCACAAACGAGATGTATTTTGAAGGTGAGGGGGAGGGGGCAAGTATCTTTTTCGGTTCAAGAAATTGCTTGACTGCTGGAGGGTCATACACAAAACAATGTAGGTTAGATCCAGGAACTCCCCATGTAAGTGAATAATTCAGGTTTGCTAAAGCTCAAATGTGCTCAATGTTAACACTTCCCTTCCTTGCTTCACTGGTCCATCATGAAGGAGATGTAGTTACACACCCCTCACCCCTCCATTAGAGGATATTGACTACTTGGAACAAGTATTGACCAGCCTGCAACAAGCCAGTGAGATAGAACCATTGGGCCACAGCAACCTTGATAGTTACAGACTGTGCTATCCATGCCCTGGGAAAGTGTGAGATTTTGTGCTTTGGTGGGAAGAATTGAGATGTAGACTATTTTCTATATGGCAAAAGGCTTCTGAAACCTGAAGAAAAAAGGAATTAAGAGTCCCAGTTCAGGATTCTCTTCGGGTTAACATGCAGGTTCAGTTGGCAATTCGAAAGGCAAATGTAATGTTAGCATTCATTTCAAGAGGGCTAGAATACAAGAGCAGAGATGTACTGCTGTCTCTGTACAAGGCTCAGGTCAGACGACCTTTGAAATATTCTGAACAGTTTTGGGCCCCATATCTGAGGAAGGATGTGATGGTGTTGGAGGCGGTCCAGAGGAGGTTTACAAGAATAGCCCCAGGGATGAGGAGCTTGTCATATGAGGAGCAGTTGAGGACTCTGGGTCTGTATTCATTGGCGTTTTGAAGGATGAGGGGAGATCTCATTGAAACTTACAGAATATTGAGAGACTTGGATAGAGTGGATGTGGAGAAGAAGTATCCATTAGTAGGAGAGACTAGAACCCGAGGGCACAGTCTCAGACTGAATGGATGAAACTTTACAAGTGAGATGAGGAGGAATTTCTTCAGCCAGACAGTGATTAATCTGTGGAACTCATTGCCACAGAGGACTGTGGAGGCCAAGTCACTGAGTGCATTTAAGACAGAGATAGATAGGTTTTTGATTAGTAAGGAGGTCAAGGATTATAGGGAGAAGGCAGGAAAATGGGGTTGAGAAACTTATTAGCCAACATCGAATGGTGGAGCAGACTCAATGGACTGAATGGCCTAATTCTGCTCCTATAACTTATAGCCTTATGTTTCTGACTGCAGCATCTGACAAAGCTCAAATAGTACCTCCCCTTGAAGCACAGTGGCCTCATCCATATCCACCACCACAATTTATTCATTCAAATGCACTGCATCTAAATTCTTTGCATGGCTATGCCTGCACAATAACTTAAAAAGGCCAATTATGCTCACCCTTTGTGGTAAGCTCTATGTAGAAGTACAGTCATATAAGTTAGGAGAAGTATTGCCTGCCACATTCACTTCTTACCCAACTTGATTCAGGTGGTCCAAATTCAGATAAAATTAAATACCTGCTCTAGATATTATCCTGGGGGGGAAATAACGAAGAAGAGAAAGATATAAAAACATTGTAGGAACAGGCAGCAACAGTAAGACTTAACTGAAGATCTAAACCTAGTTATATCCTTGAATCATAGAATCCCTACAGTGTCGAAGCAGTAAATAAACAAAAACCCTGACAAGATACTTCCAGGGGAATAATCCATATTCAAAACTACAGCAAAACTACAAAGCTCTATTCCACATTATACTAAAATCTATCAGTTTCATTTTTTAAAGTTGATTCATGAGTGCGGGCATCACTGGGAAGGCCAACACATATCATCCACCTCCTCCAGATCATTACCTATTACCAAGTGCAAGTTCCCAACAGCCTCAATGTGGACTTCACAAGCTTCAAAATCTCCCCACCCCCGACCTCATCCCAAAACCAGCCCAGTTTGTCCCCGCCTCCCTAACCTGTCCGCCTTTTCTCCCACCTATCCGCTCCTCCCACCTCACTCACTTACCAGCCTTATCCCCGCCTCCTTGACCTGTCCATCTTCCCTTGACTGACCAACCCCCATCCTAATTCACCACCTACACTCACCTTTACTGGCTCCATCCCTGCCTCCTTGACCTGTGCGTCTCCTCTCCACCTATCTGCTCCTTTATCCACCTTCCATCTGCCTCCCACTCTCTCTATTTATTTCAGAATCCCCTTCCCCTCCCCCATTTCTGAAGAAGGGTCCAGACCCGAAACGTCAGCTTTCCTGCTCCTCTGATGCTGCTTGGCCTGCTGTGTTCATCCAGCTCTACACCTTATTATCTCTTAATAAAAGCATTGCTTGTGTTAACATATCAAAAAATATTTTTCATCTCTTAAAGTATCCTTCCTACACAATTTCATGTTCATTATTGATAAGTGACATTTCATATTAATTGAGGTTCCACTTACTCGATGCTCTGTCTTTTGAGGGATATAGAGCCACACAGGGAATGACATTATACGTTGCAAGGCATTCTAGAATCAATGGCTGCAGATTGCTGAGGATGATATAGATAATTATAATTGCATATTTGGCTTTGAGATGATAGCCTGCTTCTGAAATTCCAAACGCAGCCTTCAGTGACAAGTTAAGTACGTATAAAGACAATAGAACAGATATGTTCAGCATGATCTTGATGTAAAATAAGGGATTGCTTGAATTTACCTGTAACACAAAATTTCTCTGGTAAGTATAGTTTAAAAGAAGCTCTAGACTTTTGGCTGCCATGTTAATATTTTTCTACTACATCACATCATGAACTTTTCTAAATCTACCACAATAAGATAAAATTGGAGACCTCAGTAAATATTGATTTAAGTGAAAGCAAAGTAAACTTTGAAGTTTACATGGATGAACGCCTAAATTGAAGAGACTAGTGACATAACGTATTCATATACAAGTTGTTTGTGGTCTGCTTAGTATCATGACATAAACTTGACTAGTCAGTCTCAAAGTTGCTGATTTTATCTGCATAGTTAAGGAAGACATCAAATGGTGGTGAAGCACTCTATCCTGTTTTTGATTATTGTCAAGTCATATGGGGATGTATTTAGCAGAAACCTGGGGAAACGTTATCTATGAAGGCTGAATGCCAAACCAACTTTCAGTCTCAAACTTAACGAATTTGGTCATAAGATTGTAGACCTGTTCGCCGAGCCGGTGTGTTTGGTAACCCTTCTAGGTAACATTGTCAGTGCGCCTCTAGTGAAGCGCAGGTGTTCTGTCCCTCTTGTTATTTATTTGCCTCGGTTTGCTGGCGTGGTTGGTATTACTTCCGGTTTTGTTTCTCAGTGGTTTGTACACAGGTTCTAATTCAATGTGCTTATTGATGGAGTTCTGGTTGGAATACCAGGCCTCCAGGAATTCCCTAGCATGTCTCTGTCTGGCTTGTGCAATTATCGATGCGTTGTCCCAGTCAAATTTGTGTCCCCTGTTGTCCGTGTGTGGTGAGACAATTGAGAATTGGTCATGTCTCTTGGTAGCTATTTGGCGTTCATGTTTGTCCATATTATCAATTTTCTTCCGGTCTGGCCTATGTAGTGTTTCTCACAGTCATTGCATGGTATTTTGTATATTACCCCAGTTTTGCTGGTTTCAGGTATGGGATCCTTTATGTTCGTCAGTAGCTGTCATAGGGTGGTTGTTGGTTTGTGGGCTTCTCTGATACTTAGACGTCTGAGTAGTTTTGTGGTCATTTCTGAAATGTTCCTGATGTATGGTAGGGTGATTAGTGTGTCTGGTCATGTTGTGTCTTCCTGTTGTGGTCTGTCTCAGAGGTAATGGCGGATTGTGTTTTTCGGGTATCCATTTTTTTTGAAGACTCCATATAAGTATAAGGAAGAAAATTGACAATACGGATGCATGAACACCAAATAGCCACCAAGAGATACAACCAATTCTCACTTGTCTCACTACACATGGACAACAAGGGACACGAATTTGACTGGGACAACACATTGATAATCGCACAAGCCAAACAGAGACATGCCAGGGAATTCCTGGAGGCGTGGTATACCAACCGGAACTCCATCAACAAACACATTGAATTAGAATCTGTGTACAAACCACTGAGAAACAAAACTGGAAGCAATGCCAACCACCCCAGCAAACCGAGGCATATAAATAACAAGAGGGACGGAACACTGACGCTTCAGCGGAGGCGCACTGACGATGTTACCCAGCAGGGATGAAACATTTGCAACCAAACCCACCAGTTCAGTGAGCATGTCTACAACCTCATCCACAAGCTCGAAAACTTTAAATTTGGTCATGATGGGTATACATGTGCCTATCCCATTAAAACATCTGTTGTCCATATAATTAAGTGTATTCCAAGACATAAATATTTTGTTGTTCATGATTTATTTTGTTTTGCTGACATTGCTGCCCAAATGTTTGTAGTGACTTCTGTGTTTGAACCAATAGAAATGGAAGATTTTCAATTATTGAGTGCCTAGAATTACAGTACCTGGACAGAAGATTCAATGTTTGTGATTTAGGAGAGGGAGCAAAAGGTACCGATGCTTTGGTGTGCTACTGCAGATGATGATTACAGTTAAAACAATGTGCATATTTAAGAATTAGATGAACAATTGAAGGAAAAGAAAAATGGAGAAAGAGTACATACATGAGATAAATGCAACTGTTAGAGTGGTGAATAAATACTAATTTAAAATGTTCAGCATTTAGAATTATCAGCATTTCTGTGCAATTCAGTGGAAAGTTATGAAACAAGTGACAAAAATGCCTTGAGCTCTTGTTATGTAGAGACATTCTCAGAAGTGACATGACGAACAACAGTTTACAACGAATTGTGTGAGGACATTTCTACCATTTTCATAACCACAGTACTGGAACACACAAGAATCCATGTATATTTTGGTGCAGATTTATAGTAACATCCATTTGCCTCCCTGCAACCCAATCACAATGATTAGTAAACTATAGATATATACGGGCATTCTCACGTAATACCAATCAGCAATTATTGTCCCAAGTCTCAAAAGGGTTTAAAGGTCAAAATTAACTTAGAAAATATCAACTTTATTCCCAATTTGCATGGATTCAAGCACAAAATGTCACAGATTGAAAGTATCACTGACTTCTTGAGGAAATAAAAAATTAGAAAACATTACTGTATTTACTATCATATATAAAGATTCTATACTTTCTAATGATTCACGTCGATAGCAATTTAACTCTAGAGGAGAGCCAGGAATTGCAGAAATTACAAACCGGGTCCAAAGTTTACTAACAAAAACAGAAATTGCTGAAAAAAGCTCAGCAGGTCTGGCAGCATCTGTGGAGAGAAATCAGAGTTAACATTTCAGGTAGAGTTACCCTTCCTCAGAACTGATGGTAGCGAGGAAAAGTTGCTTTTTATACAGATGATAGGGTGGGGGAAGGGGGCTAGGAGTAAAGGAAAGGTGGAAATAGAGCCCAAAGAGAGAGAAGAATAGTTGGACAAACAAAGGAGTGGATAATGATCAGCTAGGAGAATGAATAACTGCTAATGGTGACTATTAATGGTTAACAATAACCAAAATTTACTAACTCTATTTGCGAAAAAAACACTTAATTAAAAATCAAAATGTCCTCTCATAGTTCATTAAATATAATTCAAAATAGTTTAATTTTGTTAAAAACTGGTGCAAAATAATTTTTAACAAAAAAAAGCCTTGAATAAATCTTGAGTAAATTTCCATTTGAAAGATGTCACACTTACTTGGGACTGTTTACTAAATCTGCATATTAATATTTATACAAGTAAATCTCAGAGGTTACCTCTCTGCTATCAAACTTTCCATCTGCCCACAAGACTGTTGAAATGAACTGAAGCAAAGGTTGTAGAATCAAAGTCTGCAAGATGCCAATTCGAAGGATTCTATAAGCTTTCCTGTGAAATAAATAGCCCAGCATTAAAGTGACATTGTATATTTACAATTTATAAACAAGTTGGTTTCCCATCTTGCACATTTCAAAACTGTTCTCGTTGTTGATTTTAACTCATACAAAATGGATAATTGCATTCCACCTTATAGCATTTAGAAATATAGCTCGGTTCAGTTTGTTCTCACTCTCAGATACGAGTCAGTATAATATCAAGTTTTTATTTACTCATTCTTGGACATCACTGGTTGGCCGGCGTTTATTGCTCATCCTGAGATGCCCTTGCGAAGGTGGTGATGAGCTGCCTTCTCGAACCAGTATATTCCATTTGGTGTAGTTAGACACAACAGCCAATAAGGAGGCAATTCCAGGATTTTGACCTGATGGCATTGAAGGAACGATGATACATTTCCACATTAGGGTGGTGAGGGGCTTGGAGGGGCACTTGCAGGTGATGGTGTTCCCATGTATCTGCTACCCTTAACCTTCTATATGATAATGGGGTTTGGGTTCAGAAGTGCTGTGGAGCCTTGGTGAATTTCTGCACTACATCTTGTAGATAGTACACTGCACTACTACTGAGCATTGGTGCTTGTGGATGTGGTGTCAATCAAGTCAGCTGCTTTGTACTTGAAGCTGTTAAACATCTTGAGTATTGTTGGAGCTGCATTCATTCAGGCAAGTGTAGCATATTCCACCACATTCTTAACTTGTGCCTTGTAGATAGGGAACATGCTTTGGGGTGTCAGGAAGTGAGCTACTCACGCAGTCATATTTAAATGGCTCAGTCAATTTCTTGTTAATGGTTATTCACATCCTGGTCCTTGTGAGGGATTCAGTGATGGTAATGCCATTGAATGCCACTTTCAGCCCAAACATGGACATTGCCAAAGTCTTGCTGCATTTGGCCATGGACTGCTTCAGTTTCTGAAGAGTTGCGAATGATGCTAAACATTATGCAATCATCAGCGAACATCCCCACTTCTAACTTTATGATGGAGAGAAGGTCATTGATGATGTAGCTGAAGATATTTGGGTCTAGAACACTACCCTGAGGAACTCCTGCAGTGATGTCCTAGGGCTGAGATGACTGATCTCCGACAACCACAGCCATTTTCCTTTGTGCCAGGTATGACTCCAACCCAGACAGAGCTCTCCCCTCGATTCCTATTGACTGTAATTTTGCCCAGACTCCTTGATGACATATTTGGTCATATGCAGCTTGATATCAAGGCAATCAATCACTCTCACCAAACCTCTGCAATTCAGCTTTTGTCCAATTTTGAACCAAGGCTATAATGAGAAGAGGAACTTTCATCATCTTCCATCATTTCCATCAGCTCCAGCAGGTGCCACTACTGAACACATATTTCCCACCCTTTCCTTGTCAGCTTCCACAGGCACCATTCCCTCCATGCATCCTAGTCCAATCTTCTGTCACTCCTAACATTTCCTCAACCTCCATGGCACATTACCATGTAATCAGAAAAGGTTTAACACTTGCCTTTTTATCTCTGCTCTTCTCACTATCTCGGGGGTCCAAACACACCTTTAAGGTATTGCAGTAATTACTTATACTTCTTTCAATCTAGTCTACAGTATTCAATATTCACAGTTGGGTCTCCTCTGCATTTGTGAGATGAAAAGCAGTCTGGGTGATCATTTTATGGGACACCTCCTTTCTGTCTGTATGAATGAACCCAACCTTTCTAGTTGCTTGTCATTTCAATACATCTTCTTGCCCCATTGCTCACATTTCCAACCTAGATGCAGTGTTCCAGTGAAGCCCAACATAAGCTGGAGGAACAGCACATCATTTTCCGCCCAAGCACCTTACAGATTCAGACTTAACATTGAGTTCAATAACTTTAGAACATGAAATCTGTCCTCCATTTTGATTACACCTTCCCAACTCCCCTCCCCTTCCAGGTGTCTTGTTTGTGGAGGTTTGCTCTCCGCAAAGCCAACTCAATTTTGACTATACCCACCTATCATTAACACCTATTTTGCAACAACATCACTCTTTTACCACCATTATCTTTTGCTCTGGGCACACTCACCAACTGTCCCAATCACTCTTTGCCCTCTTTGTCAACAACTTTTAAAACATCATTTTCCAGCCCTGTTTAGTTCTGAAGAGGAGTCATGGAGATGCTACTAGATCTACATGTGGAGTTTCTCCAGCACTTTTTGTTTTTATTTCCAGAACTGAGTGGCCTGGGTAGAACCTAAATTAAACATGAATGATCAGGTTATTGTTAAGAAAATACAGTTGATGACCCCTTCCATCATGCTATTGATGATTGAGAGTAAACTGATGGGACAGAATCTTAATAGGAGTCTGAGCAATGTGGGCTGTGGAGAAATTTGTGGCAGAATTGAATGAGCAGATGGTGAGGCTGATTGCAATATCAGGAGCATCTCATTTTACCTTTTATGCCTTTGACAAGTAGCGGGGTGAGTTTTTTTGCTAGTTGTTAGTTAAGGGGGGTTATTGAATGTTAAATGCATTGTTAACAGCCCCAATTCAGTGGATTAGTATTCAGCTTCCTATCTGGTCAAACGTGCCAATAGGCTAGACATCAATAAAACTTAACCTGGAAATCAGAGCAGGTACCTGGTGAATTGAGCTCACCACTTGCTCTGAAGGCCATTCCATGTTAGAACAGTGCACGGCCATCTCAAGTCACACTCAGGGACACTGGCCACAGGCACTGATAATCTGATATGTCCCAGTCTCTAAGAATCTTCATGGCACATCTCCACTCACCTCTCAGGACACTCCTGCATCTCAATGCTGCATCTTGGATTAATAATAGCTAGTTATCCACTGGCAATTATCATTGTAATCCTACAGCAAGGACATTGTACACTCAGGAACACGCAACCACTCATATACTGGACATATGTAGGGTGCATCTCCAGGCTCTTTGCTTGCTATCATAGAACTCATTCTCTCTGGGCCTACCTGGATGCTTTCAACAGCCCTGTCTTCCCTCACCTTTTCTTTTGCTTTGCCACTCAGCCAGACCTACACAGCTCATATTACTTATGTCTTGCCTTGGCATTTAGTGCAGACACAATGGAAGGCAATTTGCCATGTTTGTCAGCAAGCCTCAGGTCAGTCAAGAGGGATAACCTTTGCTCAGGTGTCCCTGCACAGTAAGGCAAGAGCAACTTCCAACTTCAGTCCAGGGACTTGGACATGGTCAGTCAGCCACTCAGGGCATATAGAATCAGATTGGCCTCCGCATAAGGGGTGAGGAGGTGAATGTCAGACAACCTGCCACATGTCTTGAATCTTTCTGGCTTAGTGGGGGCTTTGCTTCCTCTTGGAATAAGAGACAGCCAGGTACAATGGGAGATGAAAGTGGATGGCAGAATGATAGAGTTGGTGCAGTTGGGGAGGTGGCCCAAGTGAGTTAGAGGCTGTATAGAGGGCACGCAGGGATGGTGGTGTTGGAGCTTGTGGTAGGTACAGCAAGTGAGGGAAAATGTTGCAGGCAATAGTGAGAGTGTTAGAGCATGAGCCTTGGTGGGACATTCGCTCAGTAGCTGAGACAGAATGAATGTGAGGTAAAAGACAGAAGGTGGTGGCCCTCACACGCACAGTAAAGGTCATTGACCTACACCTTACAGTGCTGTGGATTGCTCTGGATTAATGGAAATGCTTTAACCCAGTCAGTAACCTTGGACTAGGCTGTTGTGGTGTGGTGTTGCGGCTTCCAAAGCTGGTCCTGGGCAAGAAAATGTCTGTACCACACAATCCAGCAGGGCATGCAGATCTCTACACGCAGGGTGGGGCAGCAATTTCACTCTGCCTGCCACATCTGGGGTAAATGTCAGGAACCATGTAGGGAAGCTTCAGACTGATGGTGCTTCTCTGGGTACACAACAGGCTTTCAAAGATGGGGTAGGGCTAGGGGACTGTTAGCTCAATTGGCTGGATAGCTGGTTTGTGTTGCAGAGTGATAGCAGCAGCATGAGTTCAATTGCTCCACTAGCTGAGGTTACTATGAAGGACTCTTCTTCTCAGCTTCTCCCCTCTCCTGAGGCATGGTGACTTTCAGGTTAGACCACTATCTCGCTAACAGGAGAGCCCTATGGACCAGTAAGATTGCAGCAACTTTACTTTTACCTTTTGGTGTGAGGCATCCCTGTGAATTCTGGGATATCCACTGAGTTGCAAGTTGTTCTAGGAACAGCACCTGGTAAAATTAGGCCAGAATTGGGCATGACAGATGCTATAGGTGTATGGTAGATAGTTAAAGGGCACATTTAGTTAGATTTGGTGGAAAAACTCACTAGGCCTCATGGCAGAAATCCTTCCAAAAAGCTCAAGGTAACTTGAACTAAGGCAAGTACTCAGTTCAGAAGAAGAGTCAGTGGACTCAAACTGTTAACTCCTCTTTCTCTCCACGGATGCTGCAAGCCCTGCTGAGTTTCTCCAACAATTTTTGTTTTTGTTTCATATTTCCAGCATCCACAATTCCTTGTTTTATATTCATTATTATTGGCAGAATATTGTCAGGACCAATAGCCTTTGCAGCTTCATGTGCCTTCAGTTTCCTGATGTTAAGTGGAGCAAATTGAGTAATTGATGTCAATTAATATGAGTATAACTGACAGAGGTGGTGCTGTTTGACATTACATTGAACTGACACCTCATCTGTCAAGTGAAGTGTGCAAAATTTAAAGAGGAGCAGGGAGTTTTCCGAGTATATCAATTGACGGCATTGAAAACAGATTATCTTTTCATTAGCATATGCCCATTATTGACCAATAACAATGAATGGGTTTCCAAAAAAAATTCACTGACTTAAAAGGATAATGAACTACCTAACAATAAAGTAAATAATATGAATCTTGAAAATCAGAGGTCAGAGGTTCCTGGGTTGAATTTGTTACCGCAGACTGGAGCAAATAATTTGGGCTGGTATTCAGTGCACTGCTGAGGAAGTGTTACAATATTAGTGATGTGAGCTGAATTTTTCTCCCAAGTTAAGAATATTTTCTCTATAATAATCTTTATAAAATATTTTAAAATGTATTGCTATAGTAAAAGTCTTATGAAGAAAGCTTCCAGAGCAGTTTGCTGGTTGGAAAATGCAGAACAGGCCTCTTATGGCTGCAAAGGACGTGTCCCTTTAGAGACATTCCTGATAAGGCTTGACCTCAAAACATTCATAAACCAACCAAGAAAAGGTTAAAAACAGTCTCTCAAGAGGGAATAAATAAAGAGTTTTTGTAAAGTGATCCATGCTAGTCAGTCTTCATCAAAGAGAAGAAGACTGAGAGAGGATCATAGAATCCCTACAATGTGGAAACAGGCCATTCAGCCCAATGGGTCCACACCAACCCTCTGAAGAGCATCCACCCAGACCCATACCCGATAACCCTACATTTCCCATTGTTAACCCACTTAGCCTGCACATCCCCGAACACTATGGACAATTTAGCATGGCCAATCCACCTAACTTGCACACCTTTGGACTGTGTGAGGAAACCAGCAGAAATAGGGAGAATGTGCAAACTCCACACATACAGTTGCCTGAGGGTAGAATTGAACCCAGGTCCCTAGCACTGTGAGGCAGCAGTGCTAACCACTGAACCACCTTGCTGCCCAATGGATGCTTCCCAGAACCGCAGCTTGAAAGGCACAGAATGGAAGAGGGGAACGCTAAAAACAGAACAGAAATGTCTCCTACCCCCAGTGGCAGAAATTGGCTTCATCTGTCATCCAAGACAGTAAACCACCCTTGCTTGTCATGGGTTGCATCCTGTCTACTTGGATTATGCATTATTTTTAAAACTTTGATTCTTAAGAAACTACTTAATGGACTGCTTTAAAATCACTTAGAACCTCAACCCTCTTTTGGTAGCCTATCACTCCCAGAATCCAATCTTATGTAAACTTGATAGGGGAGAACATCAGGTCTAGAAACCCACTAGAGTTAGACTCCTGAAATGATTCTTCAGTGCCAGGCCAATTGGGAACCAGAAGGCTGTTTCCCATCCAGTTATGGATGGCTACCACTGCCAAAATATAATGCAGTGGTGATGTCCCTGCCTTTGGACCAGAAGGTCTGGGTTCAAGGCTCATCTGACGACCATGGAGGTGTGTCATAGAAACAGATTGATTAAAAATAAATTAAGGATAACAGACAGCCTGCAGAGGCTGAAAGACCAATACGAGGTCCTCCAGAAATTTCACATTGGTAGTCCTACAGGTTGAGCTGGAGATGAGAGAGGAAAAAAAGAAAGTTAGAGAGAGAGAGGAGTGCTTGGGGAACTCCCTGAACTATTTCTAAAGTATAAGCCTTGAGGCCACAGTCATGAGGCAGCTGCGGGAAGCAGTTCAGAAATCACTGGATGCTATCCCATAGGCTGCCACCAGGTGGTAGCCTCCTCACATTGGCGATGTTTCAAGGGACTTGACTGGAAAATTCCAGCTGGTATGAGAGTGGGACCTTACCTTTAATGGCAATTGCTGTCGGGCAGGCAGCCTTCCCAACCTACCTGACATTTTCAAAATCAGCTCAGGGCAGAACCATGCTGCCAAACTAGGACATGGGGCTTATGGCAGGTAATGTAAACTCACATGGTCCCACCCCATCAGGCTTCAAAAAGCCAGTCCTCCAGCTTTCAGCTGAGACATGAAACTGCGGACTTCCAAGTAGGTGTGAATGATCTCATGATATTAATTTGAAAAGCGTTTTCATCTTGGTCAATATTTGTCCCTCAGACCCAGAGCAGTAACACAAATAAATCTGGATCTTGTCTTATTGCTAATAGTAGGAACTTGCTGCAGTCAAATTAGCTTTCACTTTTCTTACTACATCACAATAATCTCGCTTTTCACATTTTAACAAAGGTGTTAAACTCTTTAAAGTAACTTAAGAAATGCATAAAGAAACATAACTCATTATCATTGAAAATGTCTAATTTTAATTCAAACTAGGCTGTAACTTTGAACCATGTCCAAACTTAAGTCAATTTCTCCAACAGAAAAATGATATACGGAAAACAGAAAAAAAAGAAATGTCAATAAAACTGTATGGTAATGATTCTACATTTACGCAACAAAAAAAGTCAAAAAGATTACGAGTCGCGTATGGTAGGATCAGAACCTTTAAACTATTTTTATCATCCATTATTCTTCATGATAAATACATGATGCAACGGATAAAATATGTGTTATTATATGTTTACGCTGTTTTAGTTTCTGGTGGCTAGTGCTACCAAAAGCATCAACAATAAATTGCTCTGTACAGCTCATAAAAAAGTAGCTTTTACTAGGGTATTCTCCCAACACGGAACTTCACTGCAGAGTGTTCAGCTAAATTGCTAGCCCTCTCAAAAGAAAATTGTTGGAGGGAAAATTAACATTAAAGTTAATTTTAAAATTCAATGTAAAATTTACTCATTTAAATACATATTCAATCCATTCCAGAAAATAGGTATTAACATTTATTTTAGGCACTTAATACATGAAAAGTTAAACAACCACAATAAAACATATTTACCTGTTCATTCGGACTTTTGGAAGACACACGCAGCAACAGCAACAAGGTCCAACATTCAGAGCAGCGTCCACATACTGTAGCTTATCAATGGCTTCAGTTACTCCACCAAGATAATTTATTGCAAGATGGAAGAAACCAAACAAAGCTATGCACGAATAACTATAAAATGGAGAAAATTCATATCAGGTACTAAAATGAATTCATCATCCTTATGCCAAAAGTCTTCAATGTTACTCACACTGCTGCCACAAAGTCAACGAAAGTTCCAGCTCGGGGAACAAACATCCCCAGTTCGTAGGCAATAGTAGTTACCTAAGACAAAAAGAACATAATCTTTTGCTGAAGACATACCATTTACAGTTACTAAACTATTTAATACATGTGGAATGTTTTAAGTTAGATAGTTTTAAAGACCATCTGGCTGTAATGAACACACCAATCTGAACTCAATGCCATTTTCATTTGATTAGTCATTTTTACATTGAGAGATGTACAAAGGACAAGTTTGTACAAGTGCCTTAAGTACTAAAACAGATTACAACAGCTATAGAATTTTTTTAAAACTATGTATGATCCTTATTTAGGAAGCTAATTTCTGTGAGAAAGACAGGTTTCAATGTTTCTGGTCTCCCAACATGCCTGATAATTATCTAGACACCTGACAAAGGAGCAGTGCTCCAAAAGCTTGTGATTTCAAATAAATCTGTTGGACTATAACCCAGTGTCATATGACTTCTGACCTTGTCCACCCCAGTCCAAATCTGGCACCTCCACATCATGATAATTATCTACTGAATTCTGCTGGAAACTATATTTGTGAATTTTAACTGGTACCATACTGTGTCAAATGTTGCTAGAAAAATAGTGGAATATTAAAGCATATGTCATTATTGGCCAGCAAATTCAAGGATTAAAAGATATTCATGAGATTTGAATCTCCAGAATTTGCCGATTGATTTATATATTCCATCCTTCAGCTGGCACAAATAGCATTTTACACATTGTTTTCAAGAACTTGTTGGATTTATACACTGATTGTCCAGTAAACTCAAGGCAGAAGATTAGGGTTGGATATAAGCAAGATTTTTGACATTGTGGTAATAATTATTTCAATGACAATGAACTTCTCTGTCTCAGAAAAGAAATGATTTAAACTCTTCACTGTTGTGGAGTTAATTAGATTGTGAGATAGAATCCATTTAATGTCCCTATTTTCAAAAGAATTATCAAACTAAAGAAACATTCAGTGTTCATACACAAAGAGCTATCACTTGGGCAAGTTGTTAAAACTATTGGAACTGAGCCCAACCAGGTACCCCAATGCACCCTGTCTACCAGGAAGCCCATATGCCACCCTTGCTACAGAAATTGGAACCCTATCAACAATCAAAACCAACATGGTGAAAATTAGAGATTGTTGCAAACTATGTGAATTGTTTTAACAGTGAATTGCCCTATCCAACTGTAAAAGTTAGAATTTTGTCCTAAACATCAGGAATGGCAGCAAAAACTTTGAATAAAATTGCAGGAGAAGAAGGTAATTCATACCTTATTTTACACGGTGAACTGTGTGAATCCTAATTTTAAAACTAAAGAACCAAAGATCGTAGGGAGATTATTCTCTGTGTATAGTGCCTATTTACAATATACCGAAACTTTATCACCATTAAAACCAGCTGAAACATAACATGCAAATATTAATACAAATATCAGTACCTGCGTAATACACCAGTATAATAATTCATCAGAACTTGCTACTTACAGGGAATATACCAAGGACCAACAGAGTCTTCTCCCTGATTGAGTCATTTATAATATTATTGTGTAAATAGTTCCAAAGCTCAAAGAAGGTAGCATATGTGGCAATTGCTACAATATTGAGGATCACCATAAGTGCAACTTCACCATTATTGAGACCTATTGAAAAAACAAAATAAAATTTACCTCAGTGCCTCAGTATGTGAAATGTAAACAAACAATTCCTCAATGATATAATTTTCTTCCGCTATATCTGTTTTAAACCACAATGTAAAGAATGCTCTTGACATCATGGGCTAAATTCTGCATGGGCTAATTGGCCAGTGAGCAGCAAGTGGAAATATCACCTGTTCCACAAGACTTCGCAACTGGCTCCTGGCAATTTCACCCTGGAAGAATCATTCGATGCAGAGGGCAGCTTTCAATTACATTTTTTTTTTAAAAATTGTTCTTGTGAAGTGAGCACTGCAGAGAAGCCCAGCAATTATTACACTTCATCAATTGTCTTCTTGAAGGGAACCACCTTCTTAAATCAGTGCAGTACATGTGGTGTAGCGGGTGGTTAGAACCAAAAAGTGGCTCACTACACCATTAGACTCAAACTTACAGCATGGATCAGTAGTTGGAACTACGATGTTGTGGCCATTACGGAGACTTGGATAACACAGGGGCAGGAATGGTTGTTGGATGTTCCGGCTTATAGATGTTTCAAAAGAAATAGGGAGGGAGGTAAAAGAGGTGGGGGAGTGGCATTGCTCATCAGGGATGGTATCACAGCTGCAGAAAGGGAGGTCGTGGAGGAGGATTTCTCCACTGAGTCAGTATGGGTGGAAGTCAGAAACAGGAAAGAAGCAGTCACTTTATTGGGAGTTTTCGATAGAACGCCCAATAGCAACAGAGACAGAGGAACAGATTGGGAGACAGATTTTGGAAAGGTGCAGAAGTAATAGGGTTGTTGTCACGGGTGACTTCAACTTCCCTAATATAGACTGGAACCTCCGAAATGCAAATAGTTTGCAGATTTTGTCAGGTGTGTCCAGGAAGGATTTCTGACTCAATATGTTGAGAGGCCGACCAGAGGGGAGGCCATATTGGATTTGGTGCTTGGCAACGAACCAGGTCAGGTGTCAGATCTCTCAGTGGGAGAGCATTTTGGTGATAGTGATCACAACTCCCTGACTTTTACTATAGTCATGGAGAAGGATAGGAGCAGACAGTATGGGAAAGTATTTAATTGGGGGAGGGGCAATTACAATGCTATTAGGCAAGAACTGTGGAGCATAAATTGAGGACAGATGTTCTCAGGGAAATGCATGGTAGAAATGTGGAGGTTGTTTAGGGAACAGTTGCTACAGGTAATGGATAGGTTTGTCCCACTGAGGCAAGGAAGGGATGGTAAAGTGAAGGAACCTTGGATGACAAGACATGTGGAACATCTAATCAAGAGGAAGAAGGAAGCTTACTTAAGGTTGAGGAAGCAAATATCAGACAGAGCTCCAGAGGTCTACAAGGTAGCCAGGAAGGAACTGAAGAATAGACTTAGGAGAGCTAGAAGGGGATATGAGAAAACCTTGGTGGGTAGGATCAAGGAAAACCCCAAGGCTTTCTATACTTATATGAGGAACAAGAGGATGGCCAGAGTGAGGGTAGGGCCAATCAGGGATAGTGGAGGGAACTTGTGTGCAGAGTCAGAGGAGGTAGGCAAGGTCCTTAATGAATACTTTACTTCAGTGTTCACCAGTGAGAGGGACTTTGACATTTGTGAGGACAGCATGAAACAGGCTGATACGCTCCAACAGTTTGTTGTTAGGAAGGAGGATGCGCTAGAAATCTTGAAAAACATGAGGATAGATAAGTCCCCTGGGCCAGGCAGGATATATCCAAGGTTGTTACGGGAAGCGAGGGAAGAGATTGCCCCTTTGGCAATGATCTTTGCATCCTCACTGTCCACTGGAGTAGTGCCAGAAGATTGGAGGGTGGCAAATATCATTCCCTTGTTCAAGAAAGGAGTTAGGGATAATCCTGGAAATTACAGACCAGTCAGTCTTACTTCTGTGGTGAGCAAATTTTTTGGAGAGGATTCTGAGAGATAGTATTTATGATTATTTGGAAAAGCACAATTTGATTAGAAATAGTCAGCATGGCTTTGAGAGGGGCAGGTCATGCCTCACAATCCTTATTGAATTCTTTGAGGATGTGACAAAACACATTGATGAAGGTAGAGCAGTGGATGTGGTGTAAATGGATTTTAGCAAGGCATTTGATAAGGTTCCCTATGATAGGCTCATTCAGAAAGTAAGGAGGCATGGGATTCAGGGAAAGTTGGCTGTTTGGATATAAAGCTGGCTGTCCAATTGAAGACAGAGGGTGGTAGTAGATGGAAAGTATTCAGCTACTGGAGCTTGGTGACCAGTGATGTTCCACAGGGATCTGTTCTGGGACCTTTGCTCTTTGTGATCTTTATAAATGACTTGGATAAGTAAGTGGAAGGGTGGGTTAGTAAGTTTGCCAATGACACGAAGGTTGGTGGACTTGTGGACAGTGTGGAGGGCTGTTGTAGGTTGCAACGGGACATTGACAGGATGCAGAGCTGGGCAAAGAAATGGCAGATGGAATTCAACCCAGAAAAGTGTGAAGTGGTTCCTTTTGGAAGGTCGAATTTGAATGTAGAATACAGGGTTAATGGCAAGATTCTCAGCAGTGTGGAGGAACAGAGGGATCTTGGGGTCCACGTCCATAGATATGGAATCTCTACAGTGTGGAAGCAGGCCACTCGAGTCCGCACCAACCCTCTAAAGAGCATCCCAACCTGACCCACTCCCCACCCTATCCCTGTATTTCCCATGGGCCAATCCACCTAGCCTGCACATCTTTGGACTATAGGAGGAAACCAGAGCACCCGGAGGAAACCCATGCAGACACAGGAAGAACGTGCAAACTCCACACAGTTATCTGAGGCTGGAATCGAACCTGGTTCCCTGGTACTGTGAGGCAGCAGTGCTAACCACTGAGCCACTGTGCCACCCAGGTGGGGGCTCGTTGAGATCCCTCAAAGTTACGACCTAAGTTGATAGGGTTGTAAAGAAGGTGTATGGTGTGGTGGCTTTCATTGGCAGGGGAATTGAGTTTAAGAGCCGTGAGGTTATGCTGCAGCTCTATAAAACTCTGGTTAGACCACACTTGGAATGTTGTGTTCAGTTCTGGTCACCTCATTACAGGAAAGATATCGAAGCTTTATAGAGAGTGCAGAGGAGATTTACCAGGATGCTACCTGGACTGGAGGGCAGGTCTTATGAGGAAAGGTTGAGGGAGCTAGGGCTTTTTTCATTGGAGCGAAGAAGGATGAGAGGTGACTTGATAGAGGTGTCCAAGACGATGAGAGGCATAGATAGAGTGGATAGTCAGAGACTTTTCCCCAGGGCAGAAATGATTATTACAAGAGGGCATAATTTTAAGGTTATTGGAGGAAGGTATAGGGGAGATGTCAGAGGTAGGTACTTTAGACAGAGAGTGGTGGGCGTGTGGAATGTGCTGCCGGCAGTGGTAGTCGAGTCAGATACTTTAGAGACTTTTAAAGTACAACACCATGGGCCGAAGGGCCTGTACTGTGCTGTACTGTTCTATGTTCTGTTACAGAGGGCAATGATGAGTCAACTACCTAGCTGTAGATCTGGAATCACATATAGGCCAGACTGGAGAAGAACAGCAAATTTCTTCCCCTAAAGGCCACGAACTAAACTGGTATTTTTATTAAGTGACCATTCAGTAGTTCCATGATCATTACTAAAAAGAGTATCATTGTCTTTCAGGTTTATTCCCTTTGTTTAAATTCCCTCAGGTGCCCTGGTGTCTGTGGAACATTAATCCAATAATGTTACCAATATGCTACTCTTCCCAATACCCCTTTCCTTAGGTTTAATGCTGCTGGGAGGGACAAAAGAGAAATTCTGGCAAAACCTTTAAAAGACTGAGGTCAATTAAAGTGTGTCATCATCTTCTGTGTAACAATCCTATTGAATAGCAGCAGCAGCCTTTGTTGCAGGAGAGAGGAAGCAATTTGGATAGCTTCTCGATTTTCTGATAAATCTTTGGAAGGCATTGTTAAAAGCTGTCCCGAATGACATGCTTCTGGAAACTAGCCACCTCTTGCAAGTGAACCAGTGAATATTCAGCTGAATGAAATATGCCAGTGAAGGTGTGGGGTACTTCCAAGTTGTGAATCAAACTAGCTCTGTCAGGGACTAAACCAGAATATGTGTTGAGGCCTGTCCTAAGGACCTGAACCCCTTGGATCTAAAGGGATGAAATTAGTTTAACCTGCAACTGAGAAATGAGCTGACAATGCCAAACCATCAAAGAGCTGCTTTGACAGGTTAAACAGATACACAAATAAACAGGAAACCCCTATTCTTCTGTTGAATTGAGATGCAAGAACCAAGAAAAAGGTTGGGGAAAAACAGTGAAAATGAAAAAATGATTCCCAACTTGGAGAAAAATGTCCGATTTTCCATTAATGCTTCAAATGGCTAATGAGAATCTCGCTGGAGAGTACTGAGGAACCAATTTGCACATGTTAACATCTCATTATTACCTAATCTTAACTCATTTATATGCCAGTTGCTATCTTCCCAGGCAGTGGAGTGAAATGAGGTGGTGCTAATTCCCAACCTTAATGTCAGAGCTGGCATCTTGCTGCTGCAGCTCGTCACCATCTTCTCCATTCATCCAACACGGTCAGCATTCCCCAACATCTTAGTGTTCGCTGCAGGGCAGTCACTGCCTCCATTTAGAGATGTTGGCTCGGCAAAGTACCGCCATCACTGCACCATCATGGCACATCTCGGACTAACTCACGACACAGCTCAGCACTTCAGTACTGTGGTTTGGAGCTCACCCACACCTTTCATTACAATTCTACTGCTGGGTTACTTTGTGCATAGCATCAGGGACCCATCGCATGAACAGGGTACATCTCAGAATTCTTAGCTTGTTTCTTAGTGCTCACTCACTTTGCACTTACTTGGACAAGACAGTACTGTGTCTTGGCATTCCTTTTAGAGCAGACAGAAAGCCAGGCAGCTTGTTACTTTTGCCAGCAATGAACAGTCAAGGAGGAAGGCATGTTGATGTATGGCACTGGGCAATGGAAGGTAGCAGGG